GAGTTCAAGAAACTACTGTGAATATGATCTTATTAGATGACTACAAAATCAAATGAATTCTTTCTTTACCTTCACCAACCATAGCCTGGGGAAAGCCCATGGGCTACAAAGAATTACTCCACATATCCTCAGTAGAAATGCATTCTGTTTATGTCCTCTGCAACACAATGCTCCTCATTTACTTCTTTCAATTGCTGTGTGAATAAACAGATTATTTTTTTTTAAAGGGAAAAGTCATGGGGCCTAATGTAAAGCCTGGTATTAACAGAAGTTGCGTCACCTGCATGAACACAGGGATAGACACAGGTGCACGCATGACAAGGTCTATTCATTTCGCACACTCCCTTCACAGTTCATCCTTCAGCTGAAATCTGGGAATTGGCAAATCACAGCAACTCGGGTGTCAGTCTGCTAGTGTTTGCAGAAGTTGGGCAATGCAGTGTACAGCTAATTATAGGTAACATGATACATGAACTATTAGGTGTATTTTGCATGACTTTTTGTTCAAAAATCAAGCACCATGACCAAAGATCTTCCCCCAGAGAGATTTCTTTAAACTTTAATAAAAATTTACAGCCTTTTCCCAAGCCCATAACTGTAAGGAATGAGAAAGTTGTAGACTAACAAAGCAAATCAAACCCGAGTACCATTTGCCCTAAAGCTGTAGCAGACTTTTTTCCCAAGCTGTGCTTACGTCCACAATCACTTTTAGACATACTAGTGCAACTACATTAGTATTAACTTATTTTGCTATTTTAATTTTCTGTACCTGTTTAATTTTCCCCTCTGCCAAATATGAAATTGAACATGTAAGTTGGATTTTTTAACAGCACAGTAAAGACAAGATGTAAAACTGTCCATCCCCAGAATGTCTGTTTCAACAGCCTCATCAATGTCATGTTTGATTCTGTGTATTGAAGGGAGTAAAAATTATAGTTATACCTGGTTATGCACAAAACATGTTTTGCTACATGTAATTCATGCTGTGTTGCAGTTATACCAAATGCTTGCAGAGATGGGAGAACTGGAGAATACCTACATTATTTACACTGCTGACCATGGTTACCATATCGGGCAGTTCGGACTGGTCAAGGGGAAGTCAATGCCATACGACTTTGATATTCGAGTTCCTTTCTTTATTCGTGGTCCAAGTGTTGAGCCGGGATCAGTGTATGTTCTCTTATGTCTCTACCACAGCTGTTGAACCTAATGTAAAATGTTTCTAAAAGCATGTAATTATCACTCTATCTACTTTCATTTCATAATGAATGTCATAATTTTTAGAGCAGCAAGTCTTATAAAGAGGTGTGTCTTTCATTTGGCATATCATTGATGTTGTAATGCAGATGAGAAAGTTGTATAGTGTGTAGTCCTGTAGGGTTAGGGTTTGGGTTTTGCTTTTAAAAAGTAGATGCTCATCTTTATGGCTCACCTTCTGGTTTAGCAGAATGGATGATGTCATGCCCTCATTGTCAATGAGATAAGAGTAGTGGCTACTTGTTTTATTGTGCTTAGCTTTTTCTTTGTGATGACAGTCTGCAGTACTGGCCTGTCAATCTCAGAATTGTAGCCTTCAAAGAGGATTTTCTAAAATTAGCACCTCTGTAGAGCTTTACATCTTCAAAACCCTGATAAACATTAATTACCATTCTATTTCCAAGAGAATGTGAAGACTTATATATTGAACACATGACAAGTATGACCTTTTCTGTTGATTTGCAGAGTGCCTCAGATAGTTCTCAATATTGATCTCGCTCCAACAATTCTGGATATAGCAGGACTTGACACGCCTCCAGATATGGATGGCAAGTCTGTCCTAAAGCTTCTGGACTTGGAGAGACCAGGAAACAGGTGGGTCCCAGTATTTTTCTTTTTTTTTTAGTCTGTTCAGAAGCACACACCTGAGCAAATCAACAACAGAGTGGAAAAAGATTCTGTGAAAATGAGCTGTGTCATGGTGACAACCACAGATTTCACATTTGAAAGTCTCTTAAACAGCACATCTATAAAATTGCAGGCATATATAAATGGAGAGGTATTTTTTCAAGAATAAATTGTTAACACTAGCAGTGCTATACATAGGTGCCAGTAGTAAATATTATTATTTTCCTTTCAGGTTTCGAACAAACAAGAAGACCAAAATTTGGCGTGACACATTTCTGGTGGAAAGAGGGTAATTATTAGGGTTGAGAGAGTTTTGGGAGAGCCTGCCTGCTGGGAATACTCTTTTTTACATGCTTTCCTTTCTGCTCCCTCATCTTCCTTTTTATGGTCAGTGAAGTAGTAAATTTTGCAAGCAAATTTACAGGCCTGACTTGTTTCCTAGTTTTCCACCACTGGATTTGCAAGCTGCTGTGCTCCCAAATCCCTACCTCTGAAAAAGTTTGAAAGCATTCTTTTCTGGCGACTCTCCTAGCCTGTACTTCCTTTTTCTCTAACATTATACTTGTGACCACTTACGTCATCATCTGACTCATTTTCTTTCCAAATCTCTGTTTCAAATCCAGCTGTGCAGAATCCTCATATCAACTGATCTTTTATTTTCCATCACATATTGGAAGCATTCTTTATTTTTGTTCCAGCTAAGAAAAGACTTACGTGTAAATGAGATTTATAACTATAACTGCTCCTCTTTTTACTGATACTTCTTCACGTCCTCTCACCTTGCCAGTTACTGCTGTGAAAATTTTCACTGAGTAAAAATTTTACAGCAATTGCCTTGTGGCACTTTATGGCTGGACAGAGTATGGAAATCTTGTGTGGAGTACTAAAGAACTGCATGCAATACACATTGTAGTATATAAGATATAGCTAAACTACCAATTGCCTTGTGGCACTTTATGGCTGGACAGTGTATGGAAATCTTGTGTGGAGTACTAAAAAACTGCATGCAATACACATTGCAGTATATAAGATATAGCTAAACTAGTGCTGACTGACTAAGGCAGCCCCTTCAGTCTCTTTAGCTGGGCTTTTCAGCCAGGCAAGTACTGCTTCAGCATGTTTTGCTTTGTGAAATAACATGTATTTATGTATGAATGGTGCTGAACTGTATCAGTTAGACAAATTTCAGCAGCCCTTTTTTCTCTTTGGGTAATTTCCAGCAAGTCACTTGGACCCTTTTTTCTCTACATGACCTACACTGAAGGTCAGTAACAGAAATGTGGGGATTTTTTTTTTCCCTGAGAAGACATTAAATCTTCAAGTAGCTTTGCTTTTTCAGTTAAATTCATCATCTCCAGAGTTTAGAAGAATGTATCTAAAATATTCAACTTTTTTTTTTTTTTAAGCAAATTTCTACGCAAGAAAGAGGAACCCAACAAAAACACTCAGCAGTCTAATCAACTGCCAAAATATGAGAGAGTAAAAGAATTATGCCAACAAGCAAGATACCAAACAGCCTGTGAACAACCAGGGCAGGTAAGCCACGAACAATTGCAGTCTTATTGAAAGTGCACACTTACTCAGATACGCTTGCTGTTTAAGGTCACTGTAAGGAATCAGTGATACCCATACCCAAGCATTTCTTTTTCTTCTCATAGCCTTAATGATTTCAGTATAACACCTGACTAATACAAAGGTCTAATTGCCTGCTCACAATTGCTGCATCCCTGACTAGAACGCTTACACCTGCAGCTCTGTAGTGTGTATATAAGGAGGAAGCTAAATTAAGAAAAAAGGAATCTGACCCCAAATTCTATTCAATCTGTTCTGAATTAATGCTTTACCTACGGTAATATATGAAGATGAATTTACTGCGGAGATGTGGAAGGGAGCTGTATGCCTTCCCACCGACACTACCTCCAAGCAGGCACATGCCAGGGGCCCCAGGCAGGGGCTCACACTCTCCCTGCCGTCCTCCTGCTCCGTCCCCGTCCCCACACACCTCCTCCGAGGAGTGTGAGGCGATTTCTCCCAGGCAGGCACTTGCACCTTTCCCTCAGATGTTTGCTGAGACCACTGCAGCCGGCTGTAGGCCTGGCGCTGAAATATGGGAAAGCTGTTTTGAACGGGGGCATAAAGCCTTCACTGTGCTCCGCTTCCATCTGCAGCCACCCATGGTGCTTCGCCCAGGGCAGGTAGAGCCCTGCGCAGCAAACCCGGGGCACTGGGGAGAGCCTGCCCACTTAGAGAAGTGCTCCATCCCTGCCTTTCCTCTTCTCGTTCATTAGAGCGTAGTGTTACAATAAATCTCGGTTAATCCCAGACTGGACTGGAATATGTTTTGGTTGGCACATCCTCGGTCAGGTCCTCTGCCACAGCTCTCACCTCACACGTGTTCCTTAAACGCAGCCACTTTTGAAGTGATATACACAATATTGCAGTCTCACCCAAGGGCAAAGTTTTCAGGAGTTCAAACACTGCCATTGTAAACAGAGATTAAATTTGAAAAACTGAACGTTTTTATAAAAACTAAAGGAGATCAATGGAGTCATTTAGACTGTTAGACGCTAAAATGTTTAGTTTTAAAATACAAAAATATTTTCTTTGCAATTATTTCTTATATTTATTACCTCCTATACCAAAATCCGGGTTTGGAATAGCTTTACTTTTCCACATGTGAATAGAAAAGGTTAAGTGTCCTGACCAGATATCACCTGGAGCAGTAAGAAATATTGCTCACAGCCCTGTTCCCAGCCCATTGCGAGAGACCTGTCTTTCCATCCCATATTGGTGAATCCTGTTTGATCCAAGTGTGGAGGGAGATGGCCTTGAGCCAGTAAGGATCTTACAAGAGCAATGGTGTTTGATAGTGGCTCTCCCACCTACAAACTCCCATGGAGGTCCTTTAAATGAAGATACGTCAGCTCCACAGAGCCCAAAAGCCATCCTTCGTGGCTGAATGACGGACAGGGCTGAACTGACCTTTTTAAGACTGATTTTCAGACCTAACCACCAGTGTACATAAATTATTTTCTTAAACAAAGAGACCAAAGTTGTCCCTGATATTTGTAACATCCTGAAGACTTCTTGCCTACAGAAGTGTAAGCAAGAAATGTGCCTACAGGAACATCCCATCAGACAGAGCAAGTGTCTGCAGAATTTTTTCCATGTACAAAGATTCAAAAAGAAAATTGAATTTAATAGGTGAAATAATTTTACTTTAGCCCAAATAGTTTCTGATGTGCAATATGAGGCATCACAGTTTAGTATGAAGTTCCTCCAGTAGATTTTCCCTAATCATCTTGCACCTCTTGGAAAAGTGAAAGAGGAAATACTGTTATTTGGGCCTTAGCTTGGTTTCATCTTTTGAGATTAGTGCCTTTAATTTAAATTACATAGGTGCATATATAGAAAAAAATCTTCATTTTAATTGTGATTACTTCCAAAATTTACTGTGATCAGTTGCAGTTAACATCACTTAAATTAAAATCACCTTCACAGAATGGGTGATTGCTGACAGATCTTTAAATAATGAAATCACTCCTCTGTGAAAAGTTGCTGCTAAATATCTGGAACAGAGAATAAGCATTTGGTGAATTAATACACCAATGTACTGCCTAATACATTTAGAGCTTGTTCTTCATCTTAATTTACTTTAGTCAGTATCAAGTTCATTTGAAACAAAGAACACAACTGGGAGCTGAAAAAGAAGAAAATTTGTTTTTCCTGTTTTAAAATGAGGTGCGATCCTGAGACCTCCTAGTTCCAAAATCTCCAAGGATGTGGTACTCAGGAAAATTATTACTTCAACTGATTTTCTATTTAATAAGTAATGTCCAAATTTAAAAAAAAAAAAAAAAAGAAAAAAAAAAAGGAAGGAAAAGAAAAGAACCTGGCATAGTAAAGGCACTTTTTTAATTAAAAGTTTCAAAATTTCTTTTTTTTTCTATGCTCAATGTCTATCCAAAAGTAGGTAAACATAAAAAATGGGAAAAAAAGGAAAATATTAAACTTCTGTATAGTTGCTAGAATTATTCCATAATTTTTTAAATTATAAATGACTGTGAAAAATAGATAGGAAATTTAGAACATAGTTCACATTTAGCTGCAAATCAGTAAGGCTTATGGATTATAAAAAAAAATAGTTTTATTTCATTAAGAAAAAAATTATAAAATGCATATGCAAAATTAAGTTAAGCTACTAGCAACATGGCTTTTTTTTAATTTAAATTTTTTTAAGACTATTGACAGATTGTGTCACTGTCATTGTAGAGCACCCTCCTCCTGCTAGTTTTTCATCATCGCTGTTATGGGAGGACAGTTTCCAAAAAGTTCATTCACTTCCTTGAGAGCATAACAGAAATGAGGTGTGTACAACTGCTTGGGTGTGTTCACTTTTGAGTTATGTGCAGCCAGTCACTAAGCCTGGTCATCAGTGGGGGAGCTTTGGAAGAGGAGAGGACCTCGCCTGATGAGCTGCATTAGCAAAGCACAGCTAACAGGTCATAGGGAGCAATTACTCGCCTCTCCTTGGTGCTTGCGGGCTGCAGCTGGAGCTCTGCTTTTGGGTTGGGACTTCCATTAGCACAGGGACTTTGGCAAACTGGAGCAAGTCCAGTAGAGGACCACAGAGATGGTCAGGAAATACTGAGGGAGGGATGGGGTTTGTTTAGCCCGGAGAACAAAAGGCAAACGTGGAATATAATAGCTTCCTTCAACTAACTAATGGGTAATTAGAGCAAAGACAGACCCAGGCACTTCTTGGAGGTACACAGCAAAAGGACTATCAGCAACAGACAAGTTGCAGCAAGGGAAAGTCTAACTTAGACATGTGGGAAAAATTGTTACTCTTAATTGTGACTGAGCACTAGAACCAACGAGGCTGTGGAAGGTCCATCCAGGGATACTTTCAAAAACTAATAATATTGTTTCTATTTGAGAAGCAGGTTGGACTAAATGACCTCCAGATGTTCCTTCCAGCAATTGCACATGCTTCTGATTTTTTTATTTGCTTAATACCTGAACTTGAGGATTTAATGTTTTCTTCCTCAGCTTCCTAACTTGGGAAATGCTTTTAATTTTGTTTATCTTGTAAGTGAGTTATCAGTCACCTGCCCATATCATATTTGAACACAGACTAGATTCTGTCTCCCACCCTGACCCAGCTGTTGACCTGCTCTCACCCACAGCACAGCCGGTCCCATCACACTCAGGCCAGGTTCACCCCCTCTGCAAAGGGAGCAGCAGAGGAGTGGGCTCCCTGCTCAGCTCTGGGTCTTGGGGCGGGGTAGAAGTTTCCTTTGCTGTCCCTCCTTCACATCTCAGAAAGCACTGCAAGAACTTATGATGAGAACCGGAGGTTTCCTTTGTAGTTTAGAAGCCAAATTTCTCACCAGTTTATCTGGTGTAACTTACTGAGGTCACATGATTGAGCCCAGTTGGTTTAGTAGTGACTATTGATGGGTTTTAGCACTTAAATGGTTTGCAGATTTTGTTTATATTTCATTGATGCATATTCCCCCTCTCAGCTTTACTGTAATAAGGTACACAGTACAGAAATATCTGTTCATCTGCAACATTGCTACTCCTGCCATTGTTTTAAAATGGGAAACAAACAGTGTGAACTTTTAACTAAAAATTTGAAAATTTTCCAATAGAGCAGAAATAATAGCATGTGAATAAATGTTTTTCTGGGTTAATGCAACCTTATCATGACACAAATCTCCTCTCAGATTTCTACTAAAATAACCTGAGATGAGAATATATGTTAGTTCAGGAGTTTTAGAGGCAAGCTGCTCTTAAATCTTCTGGCAGGTTATTTTTGTTGAACTCACTCCATCTTCTCACCCATGAAATTCTTCTGGACACTTAGCAAATATCAAATAAAAGCATGTTAACTGTGTTTTAATTTATACTTTTTCTTTCTCTCTTCCCTTACCTAAGTGTGTAACTAATGAGTTGAGTTAGTTCATAAGTATTTATTATTTTTCTCTCCACCAGTCTGAGTCATAGGAACTTTCCTGAGGCATCATTTTGACTTCTGGGACTTAACACTGTTTCCCAGATAGCAGTTACCTTTCAAAGTCTTGTGACCAATCAGGTCCAATGTACTGTTCAATCCATTATTTATAATCAGTATCAAATCCATAGCTAAACATGCATTTTTATCCTCTTACAAAAATTACACAGACCATAACCTTATTTTAAAATTTTCCCAATAGAAGGGAAAAAAAAGCCACCCTCTCAAAATGAGGACTGTGAAGCTTTGTGTTTAAAATTTCAGCTTTTAGGCTGGATGAGTCAGCAACCAAACCCAGACACAGGTCTGTTTATTTTATGGGTTTACATTTCCTACCACCTGTTCAGCACTACCTGACAGTTTAGGAACAATAAAAGTCCGAAACTTGTAAAGACCTATGGTCTCTGCCAGCTCCAGTGAGCAGTGACAGTGGTCAGAACAGAAAAATGCATCGTGCTGCCCGTGTTTGTATGACAGGCATGCCCATGAACTCAAACTGAGCTAGACAGGTATAATG